TGATTGGTTTTAGCACTGGAAATTGGCTTGAAACTGAGCTAAAGGTAGCAGAATGTTAAATTTTGCGAATTCAAGAGTAAACAAACGACCTCACACGTCTAATACACATCAGCTGGTGGGTCTAATATACATTCACAAACTATGGTGATGCTATTTATACAATGATAACAGTATTGATAACAGTAAACTCTTCATTTTTTGGTCTTGTGAAGTTAAAAATTCATTATGTGAATAAAAAAATCAAAATGGCATTATTGTACAAGCCTCAAAACATAACTACTGAAACAGAGGAAATTGTTAGTTTAGTGCCAGGAATCCTACATTGTTCATTCTGGACCCTATTTTGAAATTGGAATATTTTGAAACTTTGTGTTAAAATTGGCCAAATTAACAATTTCCGATCACTTTATTTTTTGTAGTTGAAACATTTGACTTGGCGATTTCTTGTGCTCAATCGATGAATGAAGTAATACTAGTGAATAGCTAAGAATTTGGTTTGACTGGAATAATGTAATTGCCTAAAATGGGAGTCAAAGTTCGGCAAATAATCGCCGATTCGTAAATATAGCTGTCACATCAAAATTCGCGAGAGCATAATTTCGTCAATTTTCCACCAAATTTTCGTACTTTTTGTTTTATTTACCCTTCACAAAAGATTTTCCTCTCGCTTTCATAAGAAAAAAAAAAAATTTTTTTTTTGAAAATTTCTTTGGACATGGTGCGTGACTCCAGATTTGGGCCTTGGAAAACCCTGAAAGGGTTAATTCTGTAAGATTTTTTTTTTCTTTTTTTTCTAATTTCTTGGGACACTTGGGCACCTTCAGATTTTGGCCTTGGAACCTTGAAAGGGTTTAAACCTTTTATCCTTCCTTAGCTAAAGTCTTAATTACCCTCCTTCCCTCTATCCATCAGCTGATTGGGGGAAATTCTCCTCTTGTGTAATTCGCTTCTAGGCCAGGGGTAGGCAACTAATTTTGTGCTGGGCTAGGTCACTAATGAAAGTGTGGGTTGGTTACAACATTTTTTTTACACATTCAGTTGTATAGGATAAGACCTGTTTGTCCTCTACCTCAGCTCGTTTCAAAAGCCCCGCTTATATAAGATATACTAACACCCACCAGAAATGTAACCCAAACATCCACCAACACCCAGGTACCTTCTTATGCTAGGTTGAACAGGGGGCAGTAATTGTTAAGGATCTTATACAGTGGACCCCGCATAACGATATTAATCCGTCCTGAGAGCTCATTGTATAAGAAAATATCGTTATGCGAATGAATTTTCCCCATAAGAAATAATGGAAATCAACTTAATCCAGATCTGTGCAAGACACCCCAAAGTATGAAAAAAAAAATTTTTACACATGAATATTAATTTTAATACACACTAACTGAAAAAGACATGCACAGTTACAGGTCACTGACCTTTAGGAAGATCTGGTGATGTGATGGGATGGGAGGAGCGAGAGAGTCTTAGTGTTTAGAAGGGGAATCCCCTTCATTAAGACTTTGAGGTTGTCAAGTCCTTTTCCGGGGTTACTTCCCTTTCTTTTATAGATTGCCGCAGAGCTTGGGATCCGTGCTTTGTGAGGTCTACTGGACTTCTGATCGCACATGAGAGCAATATCTGTCCGCATAGAGGCCTGTACCTCCCTTTCCTTTTATTGAGCTCCTTTCCTAAAGTGGTTCACACATTGTCAGTGTGTATGTGTCACCAGCACAGCTTGCCATATAGTCTGTAGAGATGGAGGTGAATAGGTCTTCAAAATGTAGTGTTTTGCACTTTAAGCAAACATTGCACACATATCCTTATATCTTTGAAAAGTGTGTAGGTCGCTATCTTTCTCAGTCTGTTTCTCTCTCCCCTCCTCCGAAGCAAGTTTCCTCAAGGTCTGGGCCTCTTAGCTGATGAAGATGTCTAGCAGCTCAGTGGTTAGTTCTTTCATTGTCCTCCGCAACCAACTCTTCCACATATCCCCACTAACCTCCAACCAAGGACTTTCCCCATGCCACTCCATATGAGATTTCCTCAAAAGTTGGGTTCATGGATTCCCAGGGTGTAGTCCTGTCAAACCCTATCAAAATCCCTTTTGTCTACTCATTCTTGGTAACAGTTTCTTCAAGCAGGTACACGGTCTCTTAGTCACTCTCCTGTCCCAAGCTGCTTTACCTTTAAGGTTTTGCTAACAATGAGGTGTTGTAAAAGTGATCTCTCAAAAACTCTCTTAGAGTCAATTGAGTTTTGAGGTCCCTACAAAGCACCTTTTCAATCTATTTTACAGCTGCTTTTTGTGTTCAGTTTTTTGAAGTTTGCATTAACTGCTGATGGTCCATGGGCTGCAGGAGAGGAAGTGGTAATTAGGGGGCAAAAAACTTCACCTTAATGAAGCTCATGTCTCCACCAGTCGCTCTGCCACGTTCTGAGTAGGATGGTCGGTGTGCATATGTTCTAACATAAGACAGGGAGTGCACTTAAGGTCTAATTTCTTTTCAGTTAGATACTTTTTACACATTATTTTATATTTAAATAGAATTTTTATATTATTTGAAATTGGGCACGCATTTCGGCAAAGCGCAGCAAAAGCAAGAGGCAGAATGCAAGCGCAGCTCAAAACTATTACGCGCGTCAGGCGCGGAAGCTGCAGCGGCCCCAAGCAGCAAAGAGATAGGCTCACTAAGCGCGCAAGCAGGCGCTAGCAAAAGCAGCAAGGCAGCGCGGACAGGCGGCGGGGACGCAGCAGGGCGCGCGCAATGGGGCAAAAAGGGATGGCGCAGCGGCAAGGCAAGGGACGTGCAAAAGCGCAAGCAGCAATAGCCGCAAGCAGCAGCAAAAAGCAAGAATAGCAGTGTTAGGGGCTAAAGGATTATGGACTCGGACAACAGCAGCAGCGGCAAGGGGCCGGCCAGAGATCCATGCGCATAAAAGACGCAAAGGGCTTAGGCTGCGCGCAAAGGCAAAGGGCAAGGCGGCCAAAGCAAACGCAAAGCAAGGCGAAAAAGACAAAGCAAATCGGGCAGGCCAAGAGAAAAAAAAAAAAAAAAAAGCAAAAACGCAGGGCGCGGCAGCGCCAGCGGCGCCATAGTAGCGCGTAGCAGCAAAGCAAATCAAAGGCCAACGGAGCGGCCGGAAAAGCTCAAATTGTGGGCCAAAAGCAAGCAATGTTCATGGCTAGAAGCGGGAGCGGTAAAATGCTAGCATAGCGGCAAAGGCGCGCGCAAAGAAGCTAAAAGCAAAGGCTTGCAGTATATGGGCAGCCAAAGCGCGCGCAGCGTGCGGCCGCAATGTCCAGCACACCAACGCTAGTGGCGCAGGGCGCGCAAAGGCGAAGCGCAAGCGCGCAGGGGGGCGCAGCGGGCAGGCTTGGAAGAGCAAGCGCGGCCCCCATATATATGTCGCCAGATTTGCCAGGGGGCGCGGGGGCAGGCTGTTGCGACGGCGGGCAGCAGGCAAGCGCAAGAAAAGGCCAGCAAGAAAATATGTTCAAAAAGTGGAGTAGCGCGGGGCAGCAGGTCTCAGACGGTGCGAAGCTTAGCTCAAGCGCAAATGCTGCAAAAAAAGCAAAAGCACGGGGCGCAAGGGCGGCAAAAGGCGAAGGATAGCTGGCAAAGCTGGCAGGCGCAGAAGTGCAGAAAACGCAGAGCGCGCAAGCCAGCAGATCTAGCGGCACGCCCCCGCATGGGGGCAATGGCGGCAAAAATGCCGCAAGGCAGCCAGGGCATAAAAAAGCGAAGCAAGCGGGCGCAGAAAGGCAGCAATAAAAAAAGGGGCGCAGAGCGCAGCAGGTCGCAAAGCGCCGTCAAAAAGGCGGCGGGGATAAGAAGACAGGCAGGGAGGGCACAGCAAGGCCAGCGCAGGCCAAGGCGCAGCAAAGCGGCGCAGCGCAAACAATGCAGCGCAAGGCAGCAAGGGGCAAAGGCGGGGGCCAAGCAAGCAGCAAGGCAGGCAGCGCGTAAGCGCAAAGCAAAGGGCAAAAGCTGCAAGCAGTGCAAAGCAAGGGCAAAGGGCGGCGGCAAGCCGCAAGGCAAAGCAGCAGCAAGGGGGCGCAAGCGCAGGCAAAAGCGGGGCGGGCCGGCGGGGCGCGGGGCGCGCAAATGGCGCCGGGGCCCCCGGCAAAGGCAGACGCAAGCCAGGCGCCAGGCCGGCGCGGCACAGCAAGGGCAAGGGGGGGCAAGGCAGCGGGCAAGGGGGGGGCGCGCAGCGCCAGGGGCAGGCAGCCAGGCGCAACGCGGGGCCCAGCGGCAACAACAAGGCAACGAGGCAAAGCAAGATCAAGCAGTAGCAGCAGCGGACAGCTCTCCAAAAGACATAATCAAGAAAGCAAGCCGCGCAGAAAAGGCAAGCGCGCGCGCAAGCCAGGCAAACGCAGAAAGCAGCAGGGGCAAGCAGCGCAAGCAAGGCAAAGCGGCGCGCAAGCAAAGCCGGGCGCAACAAAGCGCGGGGCGGCGACGCAAGCGCAAGGCGGAGCAGCAAGCGGCAAAGGCGCCAGCAAAGCCGCGGGCAAAGGCGCGCGCCCGCGGCGGGCCAGCCAAAGCAAAGGGCAGGGCACGCGCAGCACAAAGCAACGCGCGGCAAAGCGCGCAGCGCGCAAATGCGGGGCAGCAAGCGCAGCGCGCACAAAGCCTAAGGCAAGCCAAAAGCAAATACGGCAGCGGCAACAAGCGCGCCCGCAAGGCAAGCGGCAGGCAAATCAGGGCAGCAAAGCAAGGAGACGGCGCACCGCGCAAAGGTGCGCAAAGCAAGGCGCGCAAGGGGGCAAAAGGCGCGGGCGGCGCAGCGCAGCGGCCGCAAGCGGCCGCGCAAGGGGCAACGGCAGCGCAGGCGCAGGGAGGGGCGCAAAGGCCAAAGCGCCAAAGGGCAAATAGGCGCGGCGCGCGAGCAGGCAGCAAGCCGGGCAGCGGCAGCGTCAGGGCAAGCGCAGCGGCGCAGGCGCAGGGCAGTCAAAAAACAAAAAAACAAAAAAGCAGGGCAGCGCAAGGCAGGCAAAGCATGGCAGCGGCGCATCAAGGCGGTGGCCGGCGCGGCAAAAGGCGCGCGCGCACAAGCGCGGGCAGCGCGCAAGGGCAAATGCTGCATGCAAGCCGCGCAAGCAAAGCGCGAGGCCGGGCGGCGCAGGCGGGGGGGCGCCATCGCGCGCAAGCAAGGCCCAGCGCGGCGGGCGCAAAGCCCCGGGGCCCCGGCGCCCCCCGGCCCCCCGGCGCCCGCCCGGCGCCGAGCCCAGGGGGCCCCGGCCCGCCCCCCCGGCGCGCGGGGCGGCCGGGCCGCCCAAAAGGGGGGGCCGGCGCCGCCCCCGCCGACCGGCCGCCCGCACCGCCCCGGCCCGGGCCCCGGCGCGGCCCGCCCGCGGCGCGGCGGGCCCCAGGGCCGCGGGGCGGGCCCCCCCGGGCCGCGCCCGCCGCGGCGCGGGCCCGCGGGCCCCGGGCCGCGCCCCCGGGCGGGGGGGGAAAAGGCCCCCGGGGGCCCGCCGGGGGCCCCGGGGGCCCCCGCGCCCCCGCGCCGCCACCCCCGGGCCCCCGGCCCGCCCGCGCCCAAAGGGGGGCCCGGGGGGGCCCCGGCGCGGGCGGCGCGCGCGCGCCCCCCAAAGGGGCCCGGGCCCCCCCCGGGGGGGGCCCCCCCGCCCCGCGCCGCAGCCCCCCAGGGGCGCCGCCCAGGCAGCCCCGCGGCCCCGCCGCGGCGGGCCAGGGGCAGGGCCCCGGGCGCCCCGGGGCCCGGCGCGCCCCCCCCGGGCCCGGCGCGGCGCCCGGGGCCGGGCGCGGCCGCGCGCGGGGGGCCCCGGCCAGCCCCGGCGCCCCCGGGCCCCCGCGGGGGCGCGGCCCGGGGGCCGGGCGCCCCCCAAAAGGCCGCCGGGGCGGCCCCGGGGGCCGGCCGCGCCCCCCCCGGGCCCCCGCGGGCGCCCCGGGGCGGGCGCGGGCGCCCCGCCCGCGGGGGCGCCGGCCCCCGCGCGCGCGGCGGCGCCAGGCCCCCCCGGGGGGAGAGCCGGGGCGGGGGCCCAGCCCAGGGCGGGGGCCAAAGGGGCGGGCCCGCGGCCCCCCCCCCCCGGGGCGGCGCAAGGCCCGGGCGCCGGCCCCCGGGGCCCCCGGGGGGGCGGCCCCGGCGGCCGCAGCGCCAGGCGCCCCGGGCGCGCCGCGGGGCGGCCCCCGCGGGGGCGCGGGGGCGCGCGCCCGCGGGGGCGGCCGGGCCCGCGCCCCCGCGGGGCCCAGGGAGCAAGCCGGGCCCCGGGCGCGCCGGGCCGCGGGCCCGCCCGGCCGGCGCGCCCCCGCAGGCGCCCGCCAGGGGGCGAGGCCGGCCGCGGCGGGCCCCCGCAGGCGCAGCGCCGGCGCCGCCGCCGCGGCAGCCCCCCCAGGGCGCGCGCCGCCGGGCGCCCGGCGGGGCGCCCCAGCGGGCCGCGCGCCCGCGGCGCGCGCGCCCAGGGCAGGCGCGCGGCCGGCCCGGCGCGGCGGCCCCCCGCCGGGGCCCGGCCCCGCAGCCGGGCAGGCCGGCGCCCGCGCGCGGCCCCCGGCGCGCGCGGCCGCGCGCCCCCAGCCGCCGCCCCCCGGCCCAAGGCCAGGCCCCGCGCCCCGGGCGCGAGCCAGGCCGCGGCGGCCCGCGCGCGGCCCCGCCGCGCAGCCGGCCGCGCCCGCGCAGCGGCCAGGCGCCGCCAGGCACGCGGCCCGGAGCCGCCCGGCGCCGCCGCGCCCCGCGGCGGCCGCCCCCGGCCGCGCCCGCGCGCGCGGGCCGCCCGCGCCGCGCGCCGAGCGCGGGCGGGCCAGCAGCGCCGGCGCGCGCAGGCGGCGCCCCCGCCCGCCGCAGGCCGCCCCGGCGCCCGGGCCGCCGCGCAGCGCGCCGCCCCAGAGGGGCGCACGCCCCCCAGGACGCGGCGCCCAGCCGCGCGGCCGCGCGGCCCGCGCGCAGGGGCCCCCGCGCCCCCCCCCGGCCGCGGCAGCGCGCAGGCGCCCCGCGGGGGCCGGCGCAGCCGCGCGCGCGCCCGGCGGGCGCAAGTCCGCCGCCGGCGCCGCCCGCGGCGCGCCCCGCGCCGCAGGGCCCCGCCGCCCCCCGCCCGCCGCCCCCCCCCCCCGCCCGCGCCCCCCCCCCCGCCGGGCGCCGCCCCCCCCGCCCCCCCCCCGCGCCGCGCCCGCGGCCGCACCCCCCCCCGCGCGCCCCCCGCGCCCGCCCGCCGCCGCCGCCCCGCCCCGCCCCCGCGCCCCGCCGCCCCCGCCCCGCCCCCCACGCCCCGCCCCCCGCAGCCGCCCCCGCCCCGCCCGCCGCGCCCCCGCCCGCGCCGCCGCCGCCCGCCCCCGCCCCCGCCCCCCGCCCGCCGCCCCCCCGCCCCGCGCCCCGCCCGCCGCCCCGCCCCCGCCCGGCCCCCCGCCCCCCGCCCGCCCCGCCCCCCCCCCGCCCCCCCCCCCGGCCGGGCCGCCGCCGCCCCGCCCCCCCCGCCCGCCCGCCGCGCGCCCGCCCCCCCGCCCCCCCCCCCCCCGCCCCCCCGCGCCCCGCGCCGCCCCGCCCCCGCCCCGCCCCCGCGCCCCGCGCCCCGCCCCGCCCCCACCCGCCCCGCGCCGCAACCCGGCCCCCGCCGCCGCCGCCCGCCCCCGCCCGCCGCCCGCCCCGCCCCCCCCCCCGCCGCCGCCGCCCCGCCCCGCCGCCGCCGCCGCCCCGCCGCGCCCGCCGCCGCGCCCCCCCCGCCCGCCGCCCCCCCGCCGGCCCGCCCCGCCGGGCCCCCGCCCCGCCCCCTCCGCCCGCGCCCCCCCGCCGCCCCGGCCGCCCCGCCCCCCGCCGCCCCCCGCCGCCCGCACGCCGCCGCCGCCCCCCCGGGCCCCCCGCCCCCCCCCCGCCGCCCCCCCCCCGCCCCGCCGCGCGCGCCGGCCCCCCGCCCCCCCCCCCCCCGCCCCCCGGCCCCCCGCCGCCCCGCCCCCCCCCCCCGCCCCCCCCGGGGGGGGCCCGCCCGCCCCCCCCCCCGCCCCCCCGGCCGCCCCCGGGCCCGCCCCGCCCCCGGGCCCCCCCCGCCCCCCCCCCCCGCCCCCCCCGCCGCCCCCCCCCGAAACCCGCCGCCGCCCCCCGCCCCCCCCCGCCCCCGCCCCCCCCCCGCCCCCCCCCGCCCGGGCCCCGCACCCCCCCCCCCCGCC